AATTTCTCTCACGAGGTAACAATCATATAAATAACTAATGAATAAAAATAATGAAAAAAGTAACAAATCTAACTTTCATCATATATTATGTATAACGTCTTGGTGATGGATAAAATGATGGATTGAATGCATTAATCAATAAATAAAAGGTTCGACAAGCTAAACTTGACAATCTGATTGCTCAACGCCAAGAAGAACAAAAGAATGATCCGCGTAGCCCGAAAGAACAACTTGCTGACAAAGTGACTCCATTGCACGCGTAAGTTGAAATCTCTTGTTTATGAAGTTAGATTAATTATTATGATGATGCGTCATTATCATCGTCGTCTTATAAATAATTTCTAGTATACCATATGATAAGCAACTCGAGCAGAAACAAGAATCAATTAAAAAGATTCTCGCGAAATTTCGTAAGGATATGCAAGAGTTTCCAAGCATTGATGAAGAGACTTCATTGATCGTTAAAAAGTACTCGAATTTTAATTTTACTAGAGAAAATTTATTGTTATATTCATTATATTTATTATGATTATCAACATAATTTGTTCATCTTTTACTCTATCAGAGAAGATGACCTTCCATGTGAACTTTTAAATATTATCGAATCTCCAAAAACTATGGGATACCGGAATAAATGTGAATTCACGATCGGACATAATATGTCTAATGAGAAAACGATAGGGTTTCTGCTAGGCGGGTTTAGTCAAGGAATGCTTAGTGTAGTGGTTAGTAATTAATGATCATTATGAAGTTGGATTATTTGTTTTGATTCTTCATCCGAATTATTATATTATTTTTTATCATTAATGCTTTATTACCATAATAAATGTTACTGATGTTAGGAACCAAGTGATTGTGTTCATATAAATCCTAAAGCAATACGTATAGCTCAAGTGATGCAGGTTTAGGTGCCTTTATTATTACTATACAAAAGAATAAATTCAGAAGTATGTACTGACGTTTGTTATTTTTTATGCATAGGAATATATTCGATCGTCTATTCACGATGTATACAATCGTAGAACTAAGCAAGGTTTGATATGATAAATTCATAAAATATGGTATCGTATTCTTTTTTATTTTGCTTAATATTATTTTCTTAAAAATAGGGAATTGGCGATTATTGACGGTTCGAACACAAGAAAACGGTCAAGGTACGTGCATATTGTTTATAATACGCATTTTTTTTTATTAATCACTCAATATATTATGCCTCTAAATCCAAATATAAAGTTATGGTTATCGTCTCTTTCCACGCTCAATCACTTACCGAAGAAGAAATCACCACTCAAAAACAAGACCTCATAAAGTATTTTACAGGTCCTGTTAAACAACAGGAAATTAGCGTCAATTCTTTATATTTCCATAAAAATTTGGCTGCGTCGGATGGGTTATCCTTTGCTGAGGAGATTGAATGCATCTGGGGAGAACAATATATTTATGAGGATATGTTGGGTTGCAGGTAATGATACATTGTCATCTTATTTTAAGTCTTGATACATACATTATTTCCGGCTTTTTTGTGTTCTTGGTATAAAAAACCTTATGAAGGTGAATTGATTCCTTGCATTATATATATATTACACAGATTTCGTATATCTCCTAAATCCTTCTTCCAAGTAAACACAAAAGCCACTGAATTACTATTTACAAAGTGCCAAGAATGGGCATTGGAAGGTACCACAGACATCAATAGCCAAAGCACAACAATGCGAAAAACCAGATCAGCCCGAAAGATCGCATTATCCCGAAAAACCACAAAATTGCTGGATCTTTGTTGTGGAACCGGGACAATAGGAATTACGATGGCGAAAAAATTTGATCAGGTTGTTGGCGTCGAGCTTGTGCCGGAGGCGATTGAAGATGCAAAGTTTAATGCGAAGTTGAATGGTAAGTAGTTGTATAATAATAAATTTTTTATTCAATGTTCTGCGTTGATTTATTGCTACGAATAAGTTTTTTCCTCTGATATTTATTATTTATTAGTAAGATCTTACGTTTTATTTTTATCTGTTTATAGATATTCGAAATGTAGAATATCATGCTGGTAAAGTCGAAGAACTATTGAACGTGTTGAATACACCGAGTCACGATTCTGTTGTTGCTGTTCTTGATCCTCCAAGGTAATTAATCACGCCATGTTATATTATAAAATATATACGATTGATAATGAATTGCACCAACAATTTTAAAAAAACTGAAATTTTCGTAAACATTTACAGAAGTGGAGTTCATCCAAATGTGATAAGAGCAATACGAAAAGCAGACCAGATAAAACGCGTTATTTTCATTGCTTGTGACGCGGAAGCGGCAAGAGCGAATTTTATAAAGTAATAAACCTGTTAAGTGTAGCTGTTTAACTAGTGATTCTTAGTTTACAACTAATCTTTAATTATTTATTTTTAGTCTCTGCCGTCCTACCTCCAAAGCATTCACAGGTAGCCCATTCACGCCAAAAAGAGCTCTTCCGTTTGATTTGTTTCCGCATACTGTGCACTGCGAGTTGTTGTTATCTTTTGAACGATAGGAGATAGATGGGAAGAACAAACACGTTTCCGGCTTGTTATACTCTAGTCATGCCTAGTCTTTGTTTATCAATTTAATTACACATGTTGGATAAATGTGTTTGGAATTCAGTTTATAATATTGAAGAATTTCAATAGCTATGCCAAGATTCAAAATACAACCAAGATCTTTATATATTATTATATTATATTTAAAATACGCAAGTATGCAAAAATACTTAATAATTTATGCAAGCTGTCAATTTTATTATTAGGTGATTTTTTGAGGAAAAAAAATCTGGTGGTATATAACATATTAAATTTTATATTAATGTTAACATTGACAGAAAAGAAAAAAAATCATCAACAAAAAATCATTTAATAAATATTTCTAATTTTATAAAAAATATTTTATTAATTATTTATTTAATATATTCTTACAGATAATTTGCTTGCAAATTTTCTTTGAAAAAATATATGGATTTCTTATATAACCAAATATTTAAGACTGATATTTTAATATTCAGTGATCCTATTTAAACAAAAATATCATATAGTTAAAATAAATTAATAGTAATATATTTATTTGAATGGAATTACTAGATATCAAGATAACAGATTTCAAAGTAACAAATTCATTGTTAAAATTTTAATAATATATTATAAATATAAATATATATATATAATATATTTGTTTTATTAATATTACCAATAGTAAAAAATAATTTATTTATTGTACAATTTATCAATATAAAATTTAGAATATTAACAATACTAATATGATTATTTTTTATTATTAGATATTCATATAAGAGCATGTTTCTTATATTATTTCATAAAAAGTTCATTATTACTTTTATTAATATTAATAAAGCAATACTTGATTAATATACTTTTAAATTTATTCAAATTATTTTAAAATTAAACTTTTTTTATTAAATAATATTCTTTAATTTTTTTATTGTTATAAATTGATAATTTGAGAATATATTAAATTCAGCAAAAATGAGTTTAAAATGTGTTTTTTATAAAATCATCATAATAAACATTTGCTAAATAATTCTTTAATAAATTTCAAATATTCAATTTTGATTAATAATAAATTTAATACTAAATAAAATAGTTAAAAATTTTTATTTGTAATATTAATTACTAAAATTATTAGAAATTATTATAAGTAATATGTAAAGAAGATTACTATAAACAATTTTAATTATAATCAAATTAATTAATAAATATAGTATTATTCAAAATTTAAAAAAATATAAGATAATAATAAAAAGTTCTTAATTAAATTTCAAAATAGCAAATTTATTTTTGAAATTTTTAATAATATATTATAAAAATATGCAAATTTTGCATATTATTATAATTATAAAAAACAAAGTATAGTAATTAGTTTAATTAATAATTTAATAAAATAACTTTGAAAATATGTTAGTTTAAAATTAATAAAATTACACTTTTATCATTTTTATTAATAAATATTTTGTAAAAATTACTTTTGTTATATTATATTGAATATTTATTATATATTTAATACAAAAAAATCATAATAATTAAATAATAATTTTTTTATTTTAAATATATATTATTTATATTACTAAAAATTATAAACTTTTAAAATAAAAAACAAATCAAAGTGTTTGATATTATTTTGTAAAGTGTATTAATAGCAAAATTATTTATAAATAAATAAGTAATATTATAAATATAATATTTTATAATAAATTAAAATTATATTATAATTATAAGTTTTATATTCAGAATAATCAATATTTATATAAATAATATTTTTTATATATTCCTTTTTTATATTAATAAAATAAAATATAATAATAAAAAATATTAATATAAAATTTTAATTGATTAAATAATAAATATATTAATATAATAAATATATTATATAATGAACACTATAACTAATAGATTTGTGAAATTATACATGCAATTTTATTAATAAAATATAATAAAAATTGAAATTTTTTATCTTATATAAAAGTTTTCAATTTTATTAATAAATATTTTTATTTTTATATAAAAACAAAGTTTAAAAATTATAAATTATAGTTTAACATATATTTTTTTAATTTTTTTTTGATAAAGTTATTTTAATTACAAAGTTATTGCAAAAATTTTTTATAATTAATTTTATATTTTAATTATGAAAAATTTTTGCAATAACTTTATAATTAGAACAATTTTGTTAGAAAAAATATATAACTTATAATTTTTGTTTTAATATAAAAACTTTTATATAAAACAAAAATTTTAATCTTTATTCTGTTTTATTAATAAAATATAATAAAAATTAAAAATTTTTGTTTAGTTTCTTCTATTATAAAAATATAATCTCTTTTATTTTTTAGTTAATAAAAACATATAAATAATGTGTAATTAATTTGAAATTTATAAAAACAGTAATAACATAAAACTTAAATATATTTTTCTTGTTTTTTCTTATTATTTAATTTTTTCTTTCAATTCTTATTTATATTAATTAACTAATTTCACAATTAGTAAAAAATATATAATAATAGACTTGAAAAATATAAAATTATATAAAATATATATTATAACTTATCAAATTTAGTAATTTTCTTTACAAATATAATATAATTTTAGTAATCTATTATATAAAGTATTAAATATTTATATTTTTGTTTTGTTTCAAGAATTACTATTAAATTTAATAATATAATTATAAAAAAATTAGTAATTTAAATAATAATACTAATTGAATTAATAATAATCTTGAAAAAAAATTAATTAGTTTTGTTTAATAAATACTTGTAAAAATTCATCAAGTTTAATTGATTATTTAACTATTTTTTAGTTAAACAACAAAATTTTTCTTGATTTGTTAATTAAAAGCTTATAGTGCAAATTTTGTATTATTACCGTTTTTAGTTCTTATGTATTGTCATGATATGACATTTAATGAATAATCTTATTGGATAAGATTTATATTAATTATTATTGGATTATATATATTAGTATTTCTATTGGATAGTTATTT